CTGAAAGTTCCGCTGGAGTTACTCCGAGTTGTAGAAAGTGCAAGAATTGCTCAAAACACCCCCAGAAACACCAAAAATTTGGGGCGTTGGTGTTTTGGGGTGGCTGAGAGAAGGAATTTTGAGGAGAGCATCCTCGGGGTGCTGAAAGTTGTGCGGTTACTCCGCTGACGTTACTCCGAGTTGTAGCCACACCGAGCTTTCAGAAATCCCAAAAACTGGGTTTGGTTTTTGGGGTGGCTGAGGAGAAGGGAAACTGAGGGAGCATCCTTGGGGTGGTGAAAAGTCCCGCTGAAGTTACTCCGAGTTGTAGCCACACCAAACATTCACAAACTCCAAATTTGGGGTTGTTTTTTCGGGTGCCCTCGAGAAGGAGATTTGGGGGCGCCCCCTCAGCGAGGAGGGGGCGGGGAGCTGCCGGCCGGGCTCATTTGCATAAATTGACGCCTAATTGCTCATCACGTGGATCAAAGGCGCCGCCGCCGCCTCCTGCCCAGGCCGGGCCCCGCAATTTCCATTCCCCGGCGCCCCCAACCAAATCCCAATTTGGGGGGTCCCTGCTCTGCACCCCCTCCCATCGCCTCCGAGCCCCTCGCAGCCTTCCCGCCATGGTTTTCTGTTTAATTAAAATCTAATTTTAATTTTAATCCCAGCGGTTCCAGGGGGGGTTCGGGTGGTGCTGGTGAGGGGGGAGAATTTCCGAATAATCTCTGAATTATTTCCGAATTATTTCCGAATTATCTCCGAATTATTTCCGAATTATCTCGGAATTATCTCTGAATTTCTGGTGGCTTTTTCTTTTTTTTTTTTTTTCCTTCTCTTTTTTTTTTTTTTTTCCCTCCCTTCTCGTCTCCCTTCTTCCCCTTTGCTCGAGCAGAGGCCATTGTTATCAGTGAGCAGCGCGTAGCAGAGGCCAAGTGGAACCTCCAGCGTTTGGCCATTCCCAAACCCCCCTCGGCTTCTCCCGCACGCCTCGCCGAGGCTGGGAAGCGTTCCTCATTTTTTTAATCATTTTTTATTTATTTATTTATTTTTTATCCCCCTTCCCCCAAACGGAGAGCGAGCGAGACGATGTGAGCCGCCGTAACCGCCTGGCTGAACCCCCCTCCCTCCCCTCTCTGTTTTATTTTTTTAAAAATATATTATTTTTTAAATAACATTTTTACCAACCCATCCCACCCGCCACAAAACCGGATTGAATCTTTTCCTTTTTTTTTTTTTAATTTTTTTTCCGATCCTTTTGACGCTTCGCCCGCGCGTTTATCCCCGTAACGTTTTGAAAGGAGCCACAGAGAGAGAGAGAGAGAGAGAGGGAGAGAGAGAGAAAGACCAAAAAAAAAAAAAAAAGGAAAAAAAAGCAAAAAAAAAGCAGCAAAAAGCGGGGAGTACCGGGAGGGAAGCGGGAGGGGGGGTCACTCCTCGCTTATTGATTGCGTGGATGCTGGATGTGAAAATATATTATGTCTGCCTGTGCTTGGCTCGTCAGAGACTAAGGTAAGCCGGACTCAAATAGGCTATCACTTTGTGAATGGCGGAGTATATGTCCCAATGATTTATGACCATATGACTCCAATCTCGGTTCAAGAAGAGTTCACAAGCTTTAAGCTTCCTTCCACGCAGAGCCTCTTTTGCAGCCCTCACCCACCGCCTGCATTTTTTTTTTTTTTTAAATTCCGCCACCCCCACCCTCTATTTTTTTTTTTATTTATTTAGGAATTTTTTTTCCGCCTTTCCGCGCGCTTTATTTTAATTTTTAATTTATTTTTCCGCCTCTCCCCCCGCGTTTTGTAAATTGAATTTTATTTTCCGCCTCTCGCCGCGTTTTTAAATTTTTAAATTTTTTTTCCGCCTCTCGCCGCGTTTTTCCATCCGAGGGGGAGTTGTTGTTTTGGGGTCGGGGGGATGGAGGAAGGGAAATTTTGGGGACGCTCCGTTGTTTTTGCCGGCGCGGGGCTCCGGGCTCGGCCCCAGCTCCCGCCCCATTGTTGCGGGGCGCGTTTGGGATATTTTGGGATGGATTTTGGGATATTTTGGGATGGATCGGAACCGGAACGAGCGGCGGGGCCGGGCCCGGTGGGGCTGCCGGGGGCGGGGGAGGGGAGAGGGGCTGCGCGTCCCCAGGAGCGCCCTCGGATCGCGAAATTCGGATTTTCCAACATGGAGGGGCAGAAAATCCCTTCGGCCTCCGCTGCTTCCCTCCCCTTCCCCGCCTGATTCCTGCATTTCTGCATTATCTCTGTATTTCTGCATTATCTCTATATTTCTGCGTTTCTATATTTCTGCATTTCCGTATTTCCATTTTATCCCCGAGCATCCTCATCCTCCCCACACCCTTCCTCTGCCTCACCTTTTCCCCTCCCGATTCTTCATTTATTTTGATTTTTTATTATTATTTTTTTATTATTATTTAAATGGCCCCAAAACCCTCGCCCTCCAAAGTTGCAGGCAAAGAGTTTTTGGGGAATCGCTGCCCGAGTGAAACTCCCAGCGCCCGCCTTTAATTGGAGCGCGACATCATCGAATATTTATTATTCTGCCGGGCTTTTTTTTTTCCTTTCTTTTTTTTTTTTTTTTTTTCCCCCTTTTCCTAAGCAATTCCTTGGAGTAAATAATTAGGATTGCGGCCGTCCCGGGCGAAGATAAATGAGCGGCATTTGTGAGGCGCTGAGAGATGAGGTACAAAGCGGAGCCACGAGCGAGGCGGAGGGGGTTGTAAATTTATTTTATGGACGTTTAAAACAACAGGAACCCAAAAAAAAAAAAAACCCAGGAAAAAAAAAAAGAGAATAATCGCCGTTATTTTTAGCTGCTTTGGCCGAGCCTCACGAGGTTCTGGTTTGGGATTCTTTCGCTGGTTTTTTGGGGGGGGTTTTGTTTTTTTTTTTATTTTTAAGTAAATCTTCAGCAGACAGAGAGGCCTTGGAGAAATTCCCACCTCTGCCCCCTCGCAGATATTTCCAGCGAACCTATTCATAATCAAGGCGCTGCTGTTTGTTAATTAATTAATTCACGGCTCGGGGAGCGGAGGCTACTTTTTAATAAGACAAATTTATCATGGCCAGGGAGGAGGAGGAGGAGGAGGAGAATAACTCGCAGCGAGGATCTGCCCTCGGCGCAGACAATAACGCATCTCCGAGGAAGATCCGATGCGGATTTGGGAATGCGGGAAGGATTTAATCAGGGTAAAAAAAAAAAATTAAATAAATAAATTTTCCAAAAAGCCCCAGCGGTCCCTCCGCGGACGGGGTGAAGCAAACGGAGCTTCGGCGTGACGTGACATAAAAACAGCAGCCAGGAAAAGGAGAAAAAAATGTAATTTATTGTCGAGCTGGGGCTTCTGTTAAAGCCCCGGCACTTGAAAATATCGCGCTGGGCTTTATCTGGGCCGGGTTTGTTTTGTTTTGTTGTGCAGGATGAAAGAGGCCCAGATAAAACTGAATATACACGAGATACAATTAAATATACAATGGATATCAATCCCCAAACAAACGCTCGCTGGCTCCTGAGGCAGAGAGGAGTCTCTGCCCTTTTTAAAAATCCCTCTGCCGATTATTCCCAAGCAGTTTTCACCTTTTTCTCGGGGTATTTCTGCTCTGTTTTAATGGAGGAGAAAGTTTCTGCTGGGAGAAAAAGGAAAGGGAAAAGAAAGAGATGGAGAAAAATCACAAAAATCTCAGAGGGGAAAAAAAAGAGGTTTAATTTTGTGATTTTAAGCTTTGGATTGGGGCTTTTTAAGACTTTTTGAGTTTGGATGGAGGAAAATCCAAGGGGTGCAAAGCGAGGAGCAAATGGCCTCGTGAAGTGTTTGTTTTCCACGAGAAAGAGGGAAAACAAAAAATCAAACAACAACAGCCATGAAACCCCAGCGGGGTCGGGATCCGCTCCCCAGCTCTGGATTTGGGAGGAGAAACGCAAAACCGTGTTGGGAAAAAAAATAGGGGGAAAAAAAAAAAGGATTTATTTTCTAAATGGAACCTGTCAGAGACGGGAGAGAGACCCAGAGCAGGCCAGGGGCAGAAATCGCGTTTGGAATTCCTGCCTGCTCCGATCTGCTGGGAATCTTTGCCCTGAATTCCAGAGGCGCTGGGAGCTCCTGAGTAAACAAAAAACGGAGCCAAGTGTGCCGGGACAGCGTTACCTGGGGGGAAAACACGGGTTTTCATGGTTACCTGGGGTTAAAACACGGATTTTCATGGTTACCTGGGGTTAAAACACGGATTTTTGCTGTTCCTGGGGAAAAAACCACATATTTTTGCTGTTCCTGGGGATAAAACAAGGATTTTCGCAGTCACCTGGGGATAAAACACGGATTTTTGCTGTTCCTGGGGAAAAATCACATATTTTTGTTGTTCCTGGGGATAAAACACGGATTTTTGCTGCTACCTGGGGGAAAACACGGATTTTTGCTGTTTGCAGCTCAAAAGCAAACAAACCCTGGGGATAAACTTTGAATTTCTGTGCTGGGAGGGTTCTGGGGCTGCTCCGTGCATGATTTCAGTAGGAAGAGCAGGACTTTGGTTGTTTTTGTGTTTTTGGCCGGCGATTCTCCCCTCTGTGCTCTCACGTTTGTGCTGATTTGAGGTTTAGCTGAGTGTGTAAATGTGTGAGTGACGCAACCCCCCAGGGGTGTTTTAGGGGATTCGTGCGCGGGGATAAATCCAGAATAAATCAATGCACAGAAACCATCCCGCGTGCAGCCACAGAGCGAAACGAGCAGTGAAAAGAGAAGCTCTGACACCCCAAAAAACCCCTCAAAAATCCAATTTCTCCGAGGCTGGGCAGGGTGAAATCTGCCGGCAGCATCTGTTCCCCCCCGTTCGGTGGGACCCTATTCATGTCAGGAGCCTTTCAGGCCCCAAGATGGATTCCTGGCACTATTATTGTGTTTTTTCTGCTAACCTTTCAGGTCAGCTCCCACCAGCCAGCTGGAGAGGGGCCGTCACGTGGCCTCGGGGTGCCAATGTTCTGCCATAGGGGTGTCAAGACCCTGGTAGCCAAGAAAGATGCAGAAGGCCTCGTACTACGACAGCTCCACGCTCTTCGGGGGCTACTCCTACGCCAATGGGTTCGGCTACGAGGGCGCCCAGCCGCCCTTCCAGGCCTCTTCCCACCTGGAGAGCGACTTCCAGAGGTCCTCCTGCTCCCTGCAGTCCCACGGCAAGAGTAAGGAGCTCAACGGGAGCTGCATGCGGCCCGCGGAGCCGCCGGCGTCGCCCAACGCCAACGGCGCCAACAGCGCCAACAGCAGCGCCAACAGCGCCAACAGCGCCGGTAAAACCAGCCCCGGGAAATCCAGCCTGGGCGCCAGCGGCAGCATCTCCAAGCAGATCTTCCCCTGGATGAAGGAGTCGAGGCAGAACTCCAAGCAGAAGAACGGCTCGCCCGGCGCAGGTAGATGGGGAGGCCGCGGTGACGCGCGCCGGCCTCGCCCGCTGTGAGATAACAAGGTTAAACGGCAGGAAAATTGGTGAAGGAGGTCTGAGAGTGGCGAAGGGCTGGAGGAATTGGTTCAGGGAAAGCCAAAACTCTGATTTTCCTGCCCAGAATTCCAAAATGAGGTCTAAGAATCACAAAGGATTGGAGGAATCGGTTCAGGGAAGGACCAAATTCCCATTTTCCAGCCCAGAATTCCAAAGAGGGGCCTAAGGGTTGGAGAAGTCATTTAGGGAAGGCACAAATTCTCCTTTTCCCCCCAGCAGTCCAAAGAAAGGTCTCAGAATCCCAAAGGGTTGGAAAAAATCAGCTTAGAGAAGACCCAAATTCCCAGCCCAGAATTCCAAAGAGAGGTCTAAGAACAGCAAAGGATTGGAAGAGTCAGTTTAGGCAAGACCCAAATTCCCGTTTTCCAGCCCAGAATTCCAAAGACATGTCTAAGGGTTGTAGAAATCAATTTAGGATAGACACAAATTCCCATTTTCCTGCCCAGAATCCCAAAGGGAGGAAGGAAGAGCTGACAGGGGTGAACATTTCCCTTCTCCTCTGGAGGTGTGGGGAAACACAACCACAGGTGATGGACCCAGCCCTGATCTGGCTGTGGGGACACAAATTTGGGGAAAATGTTCTCCCAGCTGCCCAAATAGCCGCTAAAATTCTGTTTGGTGCCTTCCCGGCACTCAGCGAGAGCAGGTGTGGTGCCACGTCCAACTTCTCCATGTGTCCCACCAAAAATTCGGATAAATTCAGATAGAAACCAAAAATTCTGTTTGGGTTTGCCACAATTCAGATAAATTGAGATAAAAATCAAAAATTCAGCTCAGATTTGCCACAATTCGGCTCAGAGTTGCCACAGTTCAGATAAATTCAGATAAAAATCAGAAATTCACAGATAAATTCAGATGAAAACCAAAATTTCTTCTCGGATTTACAACAGTTCACATAAATTCAGATGAAAACCAACAATTCACAGATAAATTCAGATAAAACCCAAGAATTCAGCTCAGATTTACCAGAACTCAGGTGAATTCAGATAAAACCCAAGAATTCAGCTCAGATTTACCAGAACTCAGATCAATTCAGATAAAAACCAAAAATTCAGTTTGGATTCACCACAATTTTGATAAATCCATTCACACAACCCCATGGTGCACGTTCCATCCCCCATTAACACAATTTATGAAGTTTCCTTCTTGCAGAGCCAAACCTTGGTGTCCCACCTGTGTGCAACCCAAACCTTGGTGTCCCACCTGTGTGCAACTCAAACCTTGGTGCCCCACCTGTGTGCAACTCAAACCTTGGTGCCACACCTGTGTGCAAACCACCCCTCCCCATCTTGCATTAATTGGCCCCGCGGCCGCCCCTGCCCTGCCAAACGTCATTTTCCGGAAAATTATCCGCGGGAAATAATCTCCTCCTCAATAAGGGGCCCTGGAATCCTCTCCTACATGACATGATCCAATTTTCATAAAGCAGGGGCAGCTTTGGAGAACAGGACTCTTAATAAACGCCACGATTATGGAGTGCAGGCCGCGGCGCAGGGGCGAGGGGCGGCTTTATTAAGAAGCGACGCATTCAATTTCTGCGCCTAAGTAATTCTCTTTTATTTCATTCCGGGGGCGCGACAGAAACCTGCGGCGGCGGCGGAGGCGGCGGCGGCGGCGAGAAAAGCCCCCCGGGCTCCTCGGCCTCCAAGAGGGCGCGCACGGCCTACACCAGCGCCCAGCTGGTGGAGCTGGAGAAGGAATTCCACTTCAACCGCTACCTGTGCCGGCCGCGGCGCGTGGAGATGGCCAACCTGCTGAACCTCAGCGAGCGCAGATCAAGATCTGGTTCCAGAACAGGAGGATGAAGTACAAAAAGGATCAGAAATCCAAAGGCGTGGGCGGCTCCTCCTCTGGGGGGCCCTCCCCGGCGGGCAGCCCCCCGCAGCCCATGCAGGCCTCGGCGGGGTTCCTCAACGCCTTGCACCCCATGAGCGGCGCCTACGAGGCGCCGTCGCCGCCGTCCTTCGGCAAACCCCACCAGAACGCCTACGCCGTGCCCAACCCCGGCTACCAGGCGGCCCTGAAGGGTTGCCCGAACCAGCAGAAATTCGCCGGGCCGCGGGCAGCGGCCGAGTACGAGCCGCACGTGCTGCAGGCCAACGGCGCGGCCTACGGCGGCGGGCGCCATGCAGGGCAGCCCCGCCTACGTCGGAGGGAACTTTGTGGATTCTCTGCCCGCCTCGGGCCCGGCCCTGTACGGCCTCAACCACCTGGGCCAGCAGCACCAGGGCGGCGCCATGGACTACGCAGGGGTCCCGCCGGGCCAGCCCCACGGACCGTGCGAGAGCCACGCCGCCTACGCGGAGCTCTCGTCGCACCACGCGACTTCTCAGGGCAGAATCCAAGAGGCGCCCAAGCTCACCCACCTGTGAGAGGGGAAGCCGGTGTTTTGGGGAAGAAAGGGCGGTTTGGGTTTCAGGATGGTCGTGTTGGGTTGCTTTCCGGCCTCGCTGGTTTTGGGGTTTGTTATGAGCACAAAATCCGAGCGGTTTTGGTGGCTTTGGAAGGGAGGAACTTCCTGGGTTTTGATACCAATCGCTTCTGAAATGGGCTTGGGGTGGTTTGGTGGGAATCCTGCCGGGTTTGAGTGGCCAAATCCGTCATTTCCAAGCCACATTTGGATCGTCACTGATAATTCCTGGATGCCGGGAAGGAGAAGAGTCCTGCAGCCAAGTTTTGGGGTGCCTGCATCCAAAGAACCCCAAAGAGATCCACCAGGAAGCTCCCCCCACTTTGAGTCCTTCTCCAGATCACCGGTGCTTTCCTCCCAGCCCTCAGAGGAAGGGTTGTCCTTTTCCGCTGGAATGGGAGAAATCCAATTTCTGACCGGAAAAAGGAAAAATCTAATTTCCTACCGGAAATGGGAGAAATCCAATTTCCCACTGGAAAAAGGAAAAATCCAATTTCTGACTGGAAAAAGGAAAAATCAGTTTCCCGCCGGAAGTGGGAGAAATCCAATTTCCCATCGGAAAAGGAGCAAATCCAGTTTCTGACCGGAAAAGGGAGAAATCCAATTTCTGACCGGAAAAATCCAATTTCCCACTGGAAAAGGACAAATTCCCTTTCCCACAGGGTGATTTCCCCCCAATCCCCCAAGCCTGCAAATCACCCAACCTGCCAGGCCCGGAGCCACGCTCCCCCCTCCAGGCCCTGCCTCCCCCTCTCAAAACAACAACACACAAAAAAACTTTAAAAACTCTGGATAAGAGAGGTCCAGGCCCAAAAAGGGTCAAGGAAATCACTGGGAACGCCTAAATCCCCCTTTTTTCCCCCACCAAAATTCCAAAGAGAGGAAGAAAGAGCGGCCAGGCCTGAACATTTCCCTTCCTTCGCCTCTGCTGAGGCGAAATCTCATTTCTCCTTTTGGGGACGGTTTGGGGTTTTTTTCTGGGGGTGTTTTTTTAGGGTTGACGAGCAGAAAAAACAAGGAATTGGGGAAATCCTGAGCTTCTTTCCTCCTCTCCTTCGAGCTGACGTGAAACAGGGTATTTTTGAGCAGAGGGAATGTCCTCCCACGGAAGCAGAAGCCGAGGGATCCCTGGGATCTGCTGACGCTTTCCTGCCGGGACATCTTTGTTGCACTTAGAGTTTACATATAATGGGTATTAAAAATAATAATAATAATAATAATAAAAGAAAAGCAACTTTGAAGGGCTCTCAGCTCCGTCGAGGCGCCCTTCAGTTAGGTGTGTGTTCTGGTGAACATTCATATATATTTATTGGTTTATAGCAGTTGAAAATATTTTCCTTTTGTTTTTTTTTCTTTATTTTGTATTATTTATCCCCCCCCCCCCCCCCCCCAGACCATGTATTTATATGACGGAAAAAAACAAGCAAAAAGAAAAGACAAAAATAAGAATCAAGCGGTACTTTTTTAGTATTCCTTCCAAGAAAAAAGCAGAAAAAAGCAGAAAAAGCAAAAAACAAAACAAAAAAAAAATTAAAAAAAAAAAAAAAAGGACATTGTGTTCCCCTTGTCATGTACCACGAGCTCCTTTTAGTTATTGTAATTTAGGGAGAAGCAGTAGTTTTCTGTTCCCTCGGTACTTATGAATAATGTAATTAGTTCTTCTGGAGGCATGAGAGCAGAGCAGACCGGAATTGTTTTCGTCCTGATTAGAAGAATTTCATCGCGGCTCCCTCCCCTCCGCCCCTCCTCTCGCCGCTCTCCCTTTGTTCTTACAGTAGTTCTTTTCTTTCCTCCTGTCTGCCCAACAATTCTCAATAAAACTTTCTGCTCTCCGTTTAGCTCGTCCTGTCCGTCCGGGTATTTTTTTTGGGGAAAAAATAAGTAAAAAAAAAAAAAGGATTTCAAGGGGAAAAAATATAAAATTTGTTGAAGGGAGATGGGGAGGAAAAGGAGAGGACGCAGAGCGGAGCTGGTTTGGGGTGAAATCCTGGGAATTCGGGCCCACAAAGAGGGATCACGTGGAGCCAGGCCCGGGCTGCCATTGGAGAGGGAAGGAAAACAAAGGAAAAGGATTAATCATGAAAAATAATAAATAAAAACAAGGAGAGGGGAAAAAAAATAAATAAAAGAGAGAAGAAAGCGTAAAGATGGCCCGGAGTTTCCATCCGGGGTCCTGGGAAGTGACGAGGAATGAAATCCATAATTCCAATATTATTTAATTAAATATTAAATAATTTAATTCGGGCCAAAATAATTGATTTCTGGCGAAAACAATGGAATTGTTTCTGAAATAATAATGTGTGGCATCCACGTGCACCAAGCAGCACCTCCCGGGCACCCCAAATCTGGGCTAAAAGAGGTAAAAAAGGCCCCAAAAAAGGTGAGAGCGAAAGGGGAGAAGAGCCCCGGGCCGGCAGCGAAAGCAGGCGGGGAAGCCGTGAATAATTTGCTTTTTCTGCTCTAAAGCCCTAAGAAAACTCCCATTTAAAGCAGCGAGGGCAATAAAAGTTTTATGGGCTGGGAAGGCTGGAAAGGATGGGGTGAGGAGGAGGAGGGGGAGGAAGGAGCGAGGGGTTTGGATTTTCATTGCGGCCACGAGAAAAGGATGGAAAAGCTGGAAAAGGTACCCAAAAAAAGGAAAAATATTAAAAAAACAAAGGGGGGGTTGGGGTGTAGAAGCAGCACGTGGGGTTTGTGTTTTGTACTTTATGTATTTTTATATTTTTTATATAGTTTATATATTTATATATATAATATAATATGTATAATATGTTATATATATTATACATTATATATTATATAATACATATTTTATACCCCATAACCTATATTTTATATAGTATTTTTTGTGTTACATAGTTTATCTTTAATTTTTTATATTTTTTATTTTATTTTTTACATTTTATATTTTACATCCAATACCCTGCATTTCCCACACCGCATTTTCTACCTCACACTTCCACATTTCAGATATTTCACATTTTGCTCTTTTCATCCACCTGTGTGCACAACCAGGACAAATCCCCGAGGGATTAATAAAAAGCAAAGCTCTGGTGGAGAAAAACTCTCATGAGAAACCACACGAGCTCCGATCCCGCCTCATAAACCAAGTTCCAGGTTAATGATTAAAAAATTAAAATTATAAATAATATAAATAATAACGGGATCCGGGGCAGTGGGACCACAAGGAACAATTCCCCATCCCGGCCTGTGAAATATTTTTAATTCAAAATAAATTTTTTAATTTATTTTTAATAATACAATTATCAAATTATTCCCGGGTGGGCCGGGATCATCTCGCAGAACGTTTCTCTCTCCCGCTCCCATTCCCGGATTTTCCGGCGCCATGTTGAGCCAGGGATTCCCCAGGAAATGGTTAAATTCTGGGAAAAAGGGAAAAAAAGCAATTCCGGGGCGCGTCCTGGGCCCTCCCTCCCTGGCGGGCTCCGGAATTCGGAATTCATCGCAGGATGCGAAACCTTTCCCTCACCCGGGAGGTTTTCCCCCTTTGCTTCCGTGTGATGAGTGGGGGAAAAAAATCCCAGTTTCCCAAGAGGTTTTTTCCTTTTTTTTTCTTTCCCCTCTCTTTATTTCCCCCCCCTCTTTTCATTTCCCCTCTTCTAATCTTTCCATCTTTTCATTTTCTCCCCTTTTCATTTCCCCCGCTCTTTTCATTTTCCCATCTTTTAGTTTCTCCATATTTTCATTTTCTCCCCTTTTCACCCCCCCACTTTTCTTTTTTCCCCTTTTCCATTTCCCTCCTTCTTTTCCTTTTCCCATCTTTTCATTTCCTCCCCTTTTCATTTTCTCCTTTTTTCATCCCCCCTTCCATTTTCCCCTCTTTTCATTTCAATTTTCTCCCCTTTTCATTTTTCCCCCATTTTCATTTTCGCCCTCTTTTCATCCACTCACTTTTATTTTTTGCCCCCCTTTTAAATTCCCCCTCTTCTCATTTTTCCCTCTTTTCATTCCCCCAATTTTCATTTTTCTTTCCCCCCTTTCGCTCCGAGTGCGAGCACAAAGCCGAGACAACTTTTGGCAGCGGCTGGGGAGAATTTCCATCCCAAATTCCTCCTCTCCATCCCCATCCCTCAAACCCAGGAACCGCAAACCCCAAACATCCCCTTCAAACCAGCCCAGCAACGAGCAAAACCCAATTATTTTATTTTATTTTATTTTATTTTATTTTATTTTATTTTATTTTATATCATTGATCGGACGGGATGAAACAGATTTTGGGGTGGTTTTGGTACCCGGATCCACGAAACACTAGGGGAAATTCGGGTTTGCCCTGGGTATTTTTTTAATTATTGTAATTATTTTCTTTACCCCCGCCCGCTGAAGGAGCTTTGGATTTATTCCGCTTTAGATTTATTCTGCTTTAGATTCATTCCACCACGCGGGATGCTTCGAGTGACAAAAGTTTCCAGGGAGCGGAGCCTCCCAGTCCCTCCCGGCCGCAAACATGGGACAACTGGAGCTCCAGCAAACCCCAAAACTCCTTCTCCATCCCCTCCAGACACATTTATTTTAATTTCTCTCTCTTTTTATTTTAAGTTTCTGCCCTTGAAACCCGCGGATTAAAGTTTATAAATCTTGCCCTGGGTTAAAAACTCCGTGGTAAAAGCGGATTTCTGTGCGGAGTGAGTCGGGGCGAGCTGTCAGGAGGCTTAGCAGCGGAAGATTGATGGTTTCTCTCCTCTTCTCGGGCTCTGTGGACCGGGGCGCTTTAGAGAGGGGAAAGAAAGGAAGGAAAAAAAAAAAAAAAAAAAAAAAAAAAAAGAAAAAAAAAAAAAAAGAAAAGCAAAATCAAACCGTTGGGAAATGACTTTTTCATTTTATTTATTTATTTTGTAAACTCTGGAAGTGGCGCTGCTTTATTGCAGCAGAAGGGGTGGGGAGGAAGAAATGCGATTTCAGAGATAGCCGTGACCTCAAAATGCGTTTGGCCCTTGAGCGAAG